TTACAAGTTGCTGTTGATATCCCAAGACTGGTCTGTAATTGCCTCCAGAGTCACCTATTGTAGTTTTCTTGTAGCTCTCACTATTGGGAGAAATGCTTTCATTGTCTCAACAATTTAAGTGGCTTTCGAAAACAAATCTAACCTGATGTGGCCCTATCGTCCCGGAGATTCACGTAAGGCCAAATAATTCCAAGATTAGCCGTTGGGTAAGGTTTCAATCTTCCATGCGATTTCTGGGGAAAGGTGTATGACTTGCCAAGTACTACTGTTCATATAAACTGTTCCAAAGTGAACTTGCCTAGAGAAATTAAATGTCAGTGCTCCAGAGTGAAATTAAATGTTAATGCTGCAAAAAGGATTCAACATGATCATTGCGCAGATCATTGCTATTTTAACAAAAAAAACTACCTCAATTCTCACTGTTGTCTTTCTCCCGCTGAGAACAACCACCTCAATCGGCTTAATATTATTTAAGGAGCATTAAAAAGGTTTGTTGATAGAGGAAAAGTCTGAAAGCATTGGCGGCACTGGCCGGACTAGGGGCAAAATAATCTAAGGCTTGAATTCTCTATTAGAGTCAAGTAGTTTACAAATACTAAGCTATTTTCTGTTGTTAAATGGTCCTTAGTTTTTGTTCTTGAAAGTTCTACCGCCAAAACAAATCCAACCAAAAGCTCACAAAATTAAAGCGTTTGTAACTGATCACAATAGAATAACACTCAAGTTGTAGGTGAAGTGCCCATCTTGTATATTTAGCGTTAATTGAATTTCCTATGACGAAAAATAAGCGCATGTAACAACAAAAGTTTCGGCGTCTCCGTATGTTTGTAAAAAGTACCTACCTTGGACTTGATCTGCATTGGGCTTGTAATACAAAACAGTTGAAACCTTTTCTCTGCGTTTCTCATGCGGACGATAATATTACTACACCAAGATCGAGTTAGCTTACTAAAATGCATTCTTCCACAACCTGTTACGAGTTATACAATCTCTCTCAAGACTGACAAGTGTTAGAAACAAATCTTATTTTATATGATTAGTTGTTGCGTAATCGGCCAGTTAAACGCACGCGCTGTCTAGCAAACAGTAATAAGCGGAATGTGTTGACAGAAAGTTATCGAAAGACTAGCCTCAAATCAATAGCGTTCCTCAACGTTTTCTCAGCCATCCTTACCATTGCAGCGATCGAAATGCATATCTGAGGAAAACACCGGTGTCAGGCTATGCTCGGACGTGTCCGATAATCGCTTCTTTGCCCGCCACAATTGAGCTTGTAGACAGGCACGAGCCGCTATGACGTCAACTTTATTGAAAACGTAACTCGTTTTTTTGTCTTCGTCCACACTACTGTACTAAAGGAGACTTCCGCATTTCAAAGTCTCCACTTTGGGGAGCGTTTTCAAAGACTTCTGAGCGTTTGTTTTAGTATGTAATAAGGCCAAAACGCACAACGTTTTCACGAGCACTTTTAAGAGTAGAGTGTGTCTGGGTATAAAACAACTTGAAACTGAGGAGCTGTGAACTTGCACTGTAGCTATAACGCACGTAAATACGGTTGGGAAACGCGCAGGGGCATTTTTTTGGCGAAAACTCACAATAATGCCTTAGCACATTGTTTAAGGACACAAGATTTTTTTTCCTGTTTTCCCAATGCACCAACAACACAAGAATCTCTGGTCGTTGTTCCTGATATTTGTTGTTGTTGTTGATTTGTAGGAATTATAAAATATCGAATCTCAACCGGGTGGGGGGCAGTCTGCTACACAGCCGTTTTTAGTGCCGTCACGCAACGCTCCTCCCCAGTGGAGGAGCCTTGCGTGACGACACTAAAAACGGCTGTTTGGCAGATTAGGTGGTGGGCCATGCTGTAGAAGTCTTGCGATATCCTGTTTCAGAATAATTCAGGAGTTGTAGTTTGTATATGTTGTGGTTCAATTTCATGATGCTTGGTTAAAAATCTTTGCTTCAAACTCATTTCCATACATAACCATACTCAAAAACAAAGAAAGATAAAAGTTAAACTATTGAGGATAAAGTTACTGCATACTCCGGTATCTTGTAGGTCTTGTAGGAGAAAAGCTGGATATGCTACCACACCCATATAGATTGTGAATCTTTCTGGAAAACATGCGAGTATACAAGTTACTAGTTACAAGTTATTCGCCCAATGAACCCATTCTTGTACAGTGATGGTAGTGTTCTATTTTCTCTAAGAGTGCCGTGTTTGTTAAGTGTTAGTGTTTGTCAGCTTTCATTAGCGCTTTAGAATTTTAAGCGCTAAACAAATAAAATGTATTTATATTTTTCAATGACACGACATAAAATGAATGAATAATAAAAATGGCTAAATATGAATGGGAAAAGTGTGACTTGTGAAGAAAAAGGAAAGGGGTATTCTCAATTACCGCCTTTTGTAGGGAAATACCTTAAATTATATACGGATAATAAGGAAGCTATGGTCTTCAGCAGGTGCTTCATATTTACAAGTTACTGAAAAAACGTATCGTCAAGGCTGTGGTAATTCTTAATTATAGATGTAAGGCTTCATTGCCAAGGTGCTACCAAAAAAGCTTTTCTGAGAAAGTGTGATTTCAAGAGTGTGCGAGCTGTGCAATCGTGATGTTATGAACCTGATCAATAACTGTTATTTATAATCCTAAAGAACCAGATTTTGGCTACACACAAACATGTTAAGCCATGAATAAACTATCGATTACTCACTCACGTTGAACACAACATGTATTTAAAATGAACGTAAAAACTTGAAGTCTTTAAGCGTATTAGTCCGTTCTTTAATAGAACAGCAATAAAGCTCGATCTTTGGAGATTGGAGGAAAGCCCCATCTACAGACAGTGATAATTAAACTGATGAAAGGCTTAATTAGATTGCCATTAAATGACTACAATTTGTCTTAACCTTGATGCTATTATTTGGAATTATCCGTGTAAAGGAAATGAAGTAAGAATCTTTGACCCGAACCGCCTTATTCCCAGGTGAAGACCACCCTCCGCTACAACCTGTTAACTCCTCCCAAAATTAAAATTCAGAAAAAAAATTACTTATAATAGAAATCAAAGATTATCATCGAAACAATGAGAGAGTTGTATATGAGAGAGCCAGCAGGCGGCGACCAACGATGACTACTCAGCAATTAAGGTTTTGCCGAGTACTTTCACGTGGAGACGCCATATTGTCCATCTTCGATTTCCAAGTTAGAAAGCGCAATAAACCACTTTCGCATTGCCCGTGATCATGATGCGTGACCATGTTTACCTCTAAAATTCTGAATTAGTACAAGAAGAGGACTTGCCATTGGAAAGAATGTTTTGCGCGCTTGAATACAGGCACGTGTCATTGCTGACCCATACTAATAACTTCGTGAAGTGAAAATACAAGCATACAGAAGGACAAATGTATGTATATTCGCTTAGTACTATTACCATTGTGTTATGGTAAAATATCATATAGCTGCTGGTGAGCCATAGGCGTTGTTTCACACTGTTCTCAGGCGCTGTTTGGAGATTTTCGACGATAGTCGAGGCCCAAGGGGTCATGGGAAGAACGAAAATGACAGCAAGTGACGTTTCGATTTACGTTGACCATTCCGTTGTGTCAAGTAAAAAGATCAGTTGGACACTGCCCAAAATGAATACAATTTTAACTTCGTCGGAGGATTTTGACCAAGACAGCCATTTTAGGGTGAATAGATTGGACGTCGTCTAGGTCAGAAGAAGTTACGTCTATATCAGTATCTATACAAAAACAGGGTTCGTACTCTTTTCAGCTCTTCAAAATTCCATTACTTTCCATGACTTTTTTCATGACCTTTCAAGTTTTCCATGACCATAGGTTTAGCTGCTACGCTAAAAATTTCTTAACATTTTCCTTATTTTAGGGTATTTTTGGATCTAAATCAGTAATGACATCTTCGGTGACTAATCTACCAAACTTAGCATTTTCCATGACTTTCCAGGCCTGGAAAATGAAATTCTTAAATTTCATCACTTTCCAAGTTTTCCATGACCTGTACGAAAAAAAAAACCTCAAAAGCACTTCGAAGACCCCGAGTATCAGGTAAAAATACTACTGAATGGTTACATCAATGATTTTACCTTGAAAAGTAAGAACTACATATAAACCAAATGTACCCGGTGTGAAAGTATTGCTGAAGAGATTTAATTTTAATGTAGCCTGTGTACAGACCCCCCATCCCCTCAGTGGTACTGTAACATTAAAGCATTTCATACACAGATCAACAATTCAGCAGTAATGACTGTACTGTTAGAGAGAAAATGTTTCATCTGAATAGTCACCCCCAGAGAATTTGTACCTTTCGTGCCAGAAAATTTTCTTTCGCGGTTTCCGGTTTCGGTATTGCCGTTCGTCGCGTCGGCTTCCGACTCACGTACCGAAGTTTTACGCCGCAGGCGAACTAGAAAGAGCCCTCATTTCCCTGAAGTAAACAGTTCAACCTGACAAAGTAGGTACCACGTTTGTCGCTAAAAATACTTCTAGATAAACTTTTCAAGAATAGCTAAAACTTTCTCTCCCAGCTGTATCAGATATTTTTGTCAGCACTTGATTAATGTTAGACTTTAGTAACGTAACTTTGCAGTTGGCCATTTTCTAACATCAAGCACCAAAAATTGGAAGCTATGACGAGTGAGCCCCTGTATTGTCTATTGTTATATAACTGGACATTTTTTCGCTACTGCGCGCTCTCATTGGTTACTTCGAGGTCACGTGACATCTAACAATGAAACTGTTTCCCGCCAAAATCTCTGAGCGAAAGAGCAGGCAACATTGCAAAATCTATGACGCCTGAAGAAAACAGTACCTGAAGGGTTCACTCTCGAAGACCCATAGATATCGCGGAGTCACAGCTTTCCTTTTTCTAGGCAATAAAATAACGACCAAACACAGCAATTGACGAGACAACCTGTTTAATGGAGTCTAAGGTCTAACTACAAAACTACGAGGCTCGATTGTGCCAAAATTTATTTAACTTAAAAAAAGTCTTACATCAAGACAATAATGACACTATATCTTACTTACAATAGTTCATCTCCGTAGAAAACAATGCACATAAAACATGCAATCTATATAACTTCTTCAGACCGTGTATAATGATCTACATATTACACGATTCCATTCAGCCTGATTCAAACCAAACCTCCCCTCCCTCTGGCGCAGACAGTCTTGGCCAGTTCCGTTAACTGTCCCGCTAGAAAAGGCGTCTCGGCAGAGGAAGTTGAATGTACACAGAGTGCAGATGATGGCTTACGACCTCAAAACCGTCTCCGCGTCAGGCTGAACATGCCGAACTTACTTAAAACACTGTTACGTGATCAAGCAAACACGACAACGGAATCATAATGACGAGGTGCCCTCCATTTTTTTTTTTATTTTCTTTTTTTTTTTGGTTTGTTTATATAACACTAATCAAACCTATCCACTTATGGCAAGACTGCAAACTTGCATAGTACAAGGACAAATAACACAAGGTATTACAACATCAAGTAATCATAGCGTATTTTAATTAATAGTTTCCTGAAAAGAAAGTAAGTTAGTTGGCAAGCCAAAGGTGTGGAAGAGCCACATTGATTTTGAAATCACCAGATACGCGAAGGAACCGCAAAGACACCAAAACCCAGGACGAAAAAGATAGAGCTTGACGTGTCAAGTTTGTTACTACAATTTTTAAAGGGATGTTGGTGATTAACATCAGTCGTGTTAATGTTAGCAATTTCAAAATCAAGGATTACAACTCTCTTGTACAATCAATAGTGTGTAAAAAATAATAATTATTAAACAAAAACTATTTAAGAGAAAGATTATAACAGAAAGTAACAAGCGTGACGGTGAGCAGTGTAACTATGAAATCAGATAAATATAGCATTCTGCTCAGGACTAGGAAAAGTGGATTTTCACCCTTGAAATTGTTACAAGCCACAAAGCATACAACAATGTTACAAGAATGACAAGGCACCTGGATCTGGAGGGATAGATGAGGGCCGTGCTAATTTGTTACATGCAAATGCAATGTTGCCTTAATGTCTGGGCCACAAGATGGAAGTCACCTTTCAGCTTGTGAAAAAGGAAATCCAGTTTTTTTAAGGATAGGGTATAACACCAGGTGGACAAACTTAACAAAGCCGATCACCTGTTATGTACAATACAATAATATATTGTCAGTTACAAACTATTTTTCAATATTTGTGAATACCTCCCAATCAAGGTTGTATCTAACATGCACATGGTAACAAATACAACAGAAGCACACCTCTTTGTCATATTCATTATCACCTACAAATCTAACAACCAGCATGACAGGGATAACAGATTTGCATTTTTTTTTTTCATGTTTTTTTTTCTCCTGAGCTTTTTATATCAAAGAAATAAATTTAATTTTGGTTGTAATAAAATTAATGTATACGTATAAACTATTGCTTATTAACATAATATAATTTACATGGACAATACAATCTACAAATTACAAAGCATCCCAGACAGATACTGTTTGAAGTTCGCCTGTAGTTGTTCTATAGTACTTGCTGTTCTTGCAGTACGAAATGCTTGAAGAAGTAGAGTGTCCCTTCTCTTCACGTAGTCACATAACTCCTGAAATTAACCAGTTTGTATTTTAAAGAAAAATACAAATAACGTACTTGTTCAAACAAACCACAAAATTGGAGCCAAAAAAGGAAAGGGAAGCTTATTCAGAGGGAACTTAATCAATAGAGGGAGGAGTTGCTTGAAAAACAAACTAACAGATTATAAAAATGATAGCGATAGGTTTGATGGGAATGACTTAGTGGAGAAGAAAGAGGTCCTGTACAAGAGAAAAGTCTCTATTGTGACATCAGTGCATTTTCAAGCAAGGGGAGGGGGAACAAGCCTCCTGTTCAAGTGACACTTATATATACCCTTGGAGTCAGTGGACACTCATTGAGGCAAAGCACTAATGTCTTATATTATTTCCAAATTCAACTCACTCAATATTATACGGTATACGGACACCCTTCAATGCAGACAACAGACACTCGTTTCTTCCCAATCAACAGACTCTCCAAGAAAGTCAATCTCGCTAAAGCCGACACTTCACTTTAACTCTTTGCTATAACAGATCTTTCCTTTCATGTGAAGATATCAAGTTTTCGCATGAAAGCTCACTTGGTATTTCATTGGTGTTTATATAATAAAGACACTTTCTATAGACCCTTCACAGTGTCTGTATTAACAGGGTTTGACTGTACATACCGTAACATATGGTATACTGTAAAAGACAGTTCAGGACTAAGAAAAAAGTGATCGTCTTTTTGCAAGTTGACTACAGCCTAGCATGGTTAAACCGACCATAACCTTTTTAGCAAGTTGGTGGTCATAATTAAGTGTCGAGTACCTTAACATGTTCCGTGGAAAGTTGTCCTTGCTTATGCAGTTCCCCAAGAACAAGACACATCGACTGCCAATCTACAGACAAATTGACAACCGCAACAATGAGCACCTCATCAAGCAAACCGATGCCTTTACTTCCTTCATAAAATTCAAGTCTGGTTTGGTTTGAATCAAAATTAATCAGGTGGGAGAAGAGGGCAGGGGTTTCTATGGCAAAATAGAACTTGAGAACACCAATGGATTAATGTCTTGAATGTAACTAGTTCACAGCTGTGGTCTGTTGAGAAAACCAGGTGGTTTCAACGCTGACTTTCCGGCTTATCCGTACTGTATTACTATTTTATTATTATTTTTTTGCTTTCAGTTGCACCCTGTGCCGGGTTGTTCAAAGCTGGGTCAAGATAACCCCGGGACAGTTTGAAATTTGAATTCAGAAAATTATATAAAAGCAGAACATGCTTTGTTGGGACGACCGGACGACTGGGAATATGGATCCCTGTGTAGAAAAAATTCCGCAAAAAACGTTTTTGAACAAAAGAAAGAGAAAACCTGATTAAAATTTGCCACTAATTGGCCTACAAACAACTGGGCCCTAGGCAAAAAAACAAACAGCCTAATAATAATACTGCGGTCACTTGTTACCTTGTTCATCATTCAGCACAGGCAATACAACTGTCGCTGGTTGGGGGGGTTCCGGAGCTGGTGTGGGTGGTTGCAGTAGTTCATGGGGTATGTTGTTCATCACAACATCTCCAATAGGATTGATAAAATCCACTTGCAAGAAATTATCAGTGGCAACAGGCAGACTAGGATGCATTTCAACTTCCTGAACCTGTACGTTTGGTTTAGGTTTGTAAGTGAACTCAATAGGATCACTGGATTTTGCATCTCTGCCGTTTCCAAACATTACCACCACATTAACAGTGACGGGAGAGGTTATCTGAGTGTCACAATATGCAGGAGTGAGCACTACGGCAGCACCCTGTGGGTAACAAACAAAGAAAATTAACATTTTGTCTTCAAGATCACTGCAATTTGTCCTCACCATTCTTGACTGACTTTTTATCTCTGCCACTGAGCTGACACAGGCTAAGTCAAATTCGGACAGCTCTTAGAATCACTCTGACCACTTGACAATCTTAAGTTGTACTGGTCTATCATAATTACGGCCTAACCATAAACATGAAGGGTTAGTACCCAGTTTTGAACAAAAAATTCAAGTACTTTTCAAGGACTTTCAAGGACACATTTTGTCTGTTTTGTAGTTCTTCCACATCAGGAGAATTTTATCCCAAAGGTCTTTGTGTTTGCTCCTTTTCCTTTGCATTTTTCCTTAACCTATTAAGTTAGCATTGAAATTCAAGGACTTTCCAGTACCAACTACAATTTTCAAGGACATTCAAGGCCTTGCATTCTTTGTTTTAAAATTCAAGGACTTTCAAGGTACATACCAAACCGCACGGGCCAAAATAAATTAATTATTTCTTTACAAATTATCGCTACTTAATAATGCTTTAGGCTGCATTATCCACATACAAATTCTCCAGACTGATCCCCATATATTTCGTTAACGAATTAGTTGAGAGAATTTGATAAAGGTTCACAGCATTTCCTTCTCATAACCTTTTCCCTTGATAATGTAATGATATTGTTAGAAGACAATTGATGTTGGTCACTCTTAGGACTTTGGTAAGTTTCCCTAGGAACTCTTTCTTTAGATTTCTAATAATTTATCTGATCCAGAAAGCCTTGCTAGGTATGTGCGTAAGGTAGAATAGAAGTCAAGCAACAAGTCATTCTGAGCAGCTCCAAGCCTCCATTTCAAAACAATGCTAAATGCAGAGTCTTTGATATCAGTATCAGTATTTTCTGGAGAACACTGTTATTCATATCCAAAAAAGCTCATTTTCACAAGCAAGGTATTGCATTTGGCCTCACTAGGAAAGCAAGGGTGTTCCAAACTCAGAAATGGCTTATAACAGGATGAAATCATACTTTGTTCTTCAAGAGATGAAAAAGTCGAGACTTGAGAAATGAGCCCCTTACATTGTAAAAGTAGTGCTACACCCGTTCCTCACCTGATGTGACTTACTCTTGTCGACCTCTGCAAAACTCTCCCAAGTTTCTGTAAGGCAAAAGTTATGACACATTGAACAAAAGTCCTAAACATTCTCTTATGCTCTGAAACACAAGCAGATGCCAACAAACCCCTGTCAGCACTTCCCTTCCCAGACCTCCCCACCCCCCGAGTTTTACGTTGGACTACATCAAGCAGACATGTATTGAAGCAGGTGGGACGCTTTCATTTGCAAATGACCTGGCTGCTTGATGTGTCAACTGGCTAACAAGCCAGAAGAGGGATGGCAGAGAATTAGAGTAAATTAAATGAAATAGTTACAGTGAAATGGTGATTAATGTTTTAAGAAAAGGATTATAAAATTTGAATAAGGAAATGATTTGAGAAAAAATGAAAATTGTCAATTGAAAAGTAAAGTACACAGAAAATGGTGAAATAGAAATCAAACACTGCAACATGTACTTGTCCTATTTTCTTCACTGAAGTTCAAACCATAAAATGACAAATCGAAATGAAAAACATATTTTGTTGCGCGGACTGCAAGACATACAAAGAAAGGAAACAAAGAAAAGGGATAATCATTAAAGCCATGGTTTACTTTCCCTCCATGCCGAGGAAAGGGTTTTTTTGATTATCAAAACACCTTAAGATTTTGAACTGCCATTCCCTTCAAGGCTGAGTAAAAGTAATGAAACATGAAACAAACCCATCAATAACCCTTCATGCACAAAGTGGAAACAACCTTTGTACTCAACAAACAACCAACATAAGTTGAGCTAATCTCCTCCAAATATAAACATATAGGGGCTAAAAAAGCTTTTTTTGTGTTAGCATTTTTTTTTTCCTTTCTCCAAACCCCTCCCTGCCCCTTTACACTCCACTTATTCTACGCGATGCACGCAAGTAAAAACAACATCTAGAATCCATTAAAATGTGTTGCACACATACACAAAAATGTGTTGGTTCTTTGCCCACTACAAAGTTTGCAACCAAGTATTTTTTGTGATCTAGCAATGGAGGTAAATCCAATTTAATTAACAATGATTTAGAATACAGTTTTGACAGAAAATTTAGATCTCCAAAGCATTGATTCACAGAAAACAAAAAAAGCAACTAAAAAGTCTTGAATCATGAGAGCTTGGATGCAACTGACCGACAAGAAAAATCACCATTGCAAATAAAGCCCTCATGATCCACACTTCCAAAAATAAAAATAAATGAGAACTGCCATAGTCTTTGGTAAGGAGTAAAATCGAGTTAACAAGAGAAATAATTTGACACAAGGATGCATTTTGCTATTTCGAATGCAATAATATTGACTGCAACTCCACGAATCAAAAAACATTCAAAATAGTTCTACCAAAAAAAAAAACTTGGGAGGGTAACTGAGGACAAGCAACTCTTTCAAACCACATTTACCTAAAGACACCTTATTCAGGGCCTTTAGCACACCTCACCAAAGACAATGCCATTTCAATATCAAGGAAAACCGAATAAAAACTAAAAAGACAAAAAACTTGTCTCACTGTGCAACTGTGGAGATAAAATTCATGCGAAATTGTCTTCCACTGTAATGAAGTGTATGTTGTCGACAGGATACCACAATAATAATTGCTCACACATTGCTTTCGAAACAGAAAATGTTTACCAATACTTCTCAAGTAAAACAAAACTTAAGCTCTTGCTAAAGTAACGTTGAAAATTCTTGTTCAATAATTCTATGTATAAAGTTACAAAGAAGAACTTAAGACCAATTGCAGCTTGGTATTGAAAGACAGCAAGTCAATCTTACACCTCTGCTGGCTGTTAAATTAGGAGAAAATTTCTAAGCACAAGGACTGGTGTAAAACCATACAAATAAGTTGAATCATGTAATTTACAATAATTGGTTTATATGTCTGTTTGTTTATGCTCCACCACTTGCTACTATTCATGACAGAAATAAAATGAAAGTGATGAAAATCTGTTCACAAGGACAAGAAATTTTTTCTTTTTCAAAAAGCACGTGATGTTATGCCAATTTTCTTCCATTTTAACCAACTTGCAACACAATTGAGTGGACTCATTTAATTTAGTTTGGCTAGTGAAAAATTTATCTTGTTCAGTACAATCAAATTTGCTATAAAATTGAAGTGTTAGTCTTCAGCCCTGGCAATGAGTTGCCTATTACATCAAAGTGGCGAAACTGCATAAAATTCTTTACAGTGCAAAATAAGGAGATTGCTGTTAACACGGATTGCTGTACAGTTCATCAAGGAGCACTGTCAATCATCAAATAGTGCAAATCAATTTGCAATTTGAGATATTTTTTCTCTGAAGTTGTACGCTGATTGCAGTGAGACATGAGAACTTTTCATTCTGCTTTTCCTAACTCATTCCCTCTCAAAAGAATGTTTACTGTTGTTGGTAAAGTTCAGTGAAATTCAATAACATACAAATATTATTGCCCGCGACCATTCTTATTCTTATGATAAACTCGCAAATTGGTTTCTGGTAATCTGCATCATTTTGGACAAGCAGGAACATTCACTAAAAAGAATGTAAAAAAAATAAAACTTTACAGGTCTGGAATAACAGCAACCTCAGAATCTTGCCTGCACTTGAGAAGCCTGGTAAACATTTCCTGGTGTAAACAAAAACTAGATTTTGATGAAAAAGAGCTAGCTTTGACTAAAACTTGTGCATCGAATGGAGTTACATTTCTGTCAGTAAGAAAACCCTAACCTAAGTTTGGTTCATGCCAAAAAGAGAAAAATGTCACAAAAATACTTGAAAGCTGGTGTATGATTCTTACAAAGTTACATCAGATGGTTACAAAAGATATGAAATCTATATCTTATTTTAACAGTAATATCTTTGTTTACATTGAAAAGATTGAAACTTATTTCAGGATTAAAATAAGAAGGAGCACAAGAAGTAAAGAAGTTCTTGATAGTGATGGAATAACTTTGGCCTATTAAAATGCAGACCAAATTAGAATTATTACTTTTATTAATTTCAAAAAACAGATTTTAGAGAAAGGACACCGTCGAGCACCTGTAATAATACAGCTTCCACTGGTAAAAAAGCAATTATGTGAGCAATGTCCATTGTGGTCAACACAGTGTCAACTCTGGAAGCGCAACAACTGTAATCAGCATGTTAAAACCTTCAAACCCAATACCCAATAACGCAATGCATCTAAACATCATATAAAATAATCCCCAACGGAACTTTGCACAACCAAGATGCATCAAATTCATTTACCTAGCACTTGCTTACTTCTGACTTTGTTTCTTTAGAATGTAACCAGTAAAAACTGTCAAGAAAGAACTCAGTGCCTCCCATCCAACGACCATGCCACCAACACAATAATATCTATTTGTGGCAAAATATATTCAAGTATATATTTTGGATCTTGGTTCTACAAAGCATCATATTTTCAAATACAAACCAACATGCCTCCAGTGTATGATCTCCTCAGAAACTCTCCTGAAACTTATCATTCAAGTACAGCTATAGAGTTCTCTTCAGAGAACTAACAGCTGGAAGACAATATGATTGTCTCTGTAAAGCAACTATACAGTGCTGGTGTGCCTCACAGCTAGATGTTCCAAAAGAAACTTAATATGAGCCAACAAGAATTTCTCTGTCCAAACTGAATTTTCTTTCTGCAAAAAAGCTTTTGAGAACTTATGTTTTGGTTACAAACATATATCTTCATGAGTAACTCAGCTGAATAAAAATATCGCCCTGAAGTGCTTAGCTTGAAGCTCATTAAGAACCACCATTGAACATCCAGAAAATGTGCCGTTTTGCATTTACCAGAACTGTATCTTTTTTCAATCAACAGACAGACAATGCTTATTCAACCTTTCTGCTCAGTTCATTTTGATAGCACAGGATAACAATGGAGCAGAATATTTTCAGTTTGTTATTTCAATTTTGGAACTTACATAAAACTGGTAGCACATCTGTTGATGTTTTATGGTGTTGATTAGACATGGGTGTAACAAAAGCACCATAGGGCGACACTTTAATCCCCTGAAACCCGGAAGACATTTGTTTTATTGCCAATTTATTGCACACCTTTCATTCCAACCCCACCACTTTCCCACCCAACCAAGCTTGCCCTCCCATAGCCAACAGACTAGAAAACCACCTTAATACCCTCAACAGAGTAATCTCTCAGAGACCAGACACAGATGGACATTTGTACAATACAGACATCACTGTTTTAAAAAGTTCAAAATGAGGGCCAAATTAACCACAAATTCAACAATGGTGTTTTCAATTTTGTGAACTTTTAGTACAAAAATAGTCACAAATTGGTGAAGTCTAGATGATCAAAAGCTTGAAAGGTTAAAAAAATTTTTTCCACAAGAGGCATGCCAGTTTCAAACAAAAGAAAAATATAAAAGAGCTGGGACTTCAAACTACAATGCCTGTCAACTGATTTTTTCACTACGGTTTTCAATTTTATCTGACACCTCTTTAAAGCTTGTAAACAATCTTCTCACATTTTATACAATAATAAAACTTTGAACTGTTCAACCAATCAACCAAATAATATTTAAATTGTCTCGACGGGAACTGTGCATTGTAATTTGACATCCATAATCACAAGAATAAAAGTAAGGTGCACATTTTCATCCAAAGTTTCCTGCCAGTCAGCCACATCCACTACATAATTTAGAGTTTTACTTCAACATGGAGGATATCACTGACACACAGAAAGTATGGGACAACAAATTACACCTTGCTTAAACTCCTGTGAACAACACCAACTTTAACAAGCAAAAAGAGACGGAAATCCTACCAGATGGATTGGCCGAGAAGAATCGTACTTTGAAACCTGCAACAGTAGACAAAACAGCTGATTAATTCACGATCCTAAAGCAAACACTGCAGAAGAAAACACCACTAAACTTGCTGGAAAAAGGTACCAACAACAACAATTAAAAAATTCACCTGACTGAAACTTTTTTCCAATCAGACCCAGTTCATCGCCGCCCTCAACAGAACCCTCACTGATACTGGCCCACCAGATTTCAGGATTTCCAGGGGGACCAGCTACATAGAAAAAAAAAACAGAAGCAAAAGAAGTTAACACATTGTTAAGATTCCTACATAATCAATAAGAGTAAGAGGAGTTGCACTTTGTTCCACAAGAATCAGAACCCGAGTTGAAATTTGGGTGTGCAGGGAAGTAGCTAAGGAAAAGATAAGCAGGTATTTTTATTTGTCAAGCCAGCTTTTTCACTCAACTGAACCGTTAAACTGACCCCGTGTCTAGCAATTTGAGTCGGTTCTAGGGTCCTTCTCATACACAGAAATTAGCCGGCAGCTGCCTTTTTGGGACATCACTGGGCTTGGTGGAGAAAATAAAGGTATTCCACAACTCAAACTTACTTGAACTACATTGGAAGACTTTGGACTTGCAAGTAAGCTTAATGGCAGGATGGCCATCATGTTCAGGGATCTCTGCCTGAAACAAGAGCCGAGCTTCCTTGCGTTCTTTCTTCCATGTTCTTGGATCAATACCCCTTTTTCTCAATTCTCGATCACCTTCCCAGTTTCGCAGTCTACGAATGCTTAAAGAATCAAGCCTGCAGACAAAAGGGTATCAACATAATTAGTTCAAATTCTGTCCAATAACAAAAAGGATGCTCTACACTTAATACTGCATAAATCATTGTTTTTATCAAAGTTAGAAATCAAGCATTCCTTTCTAAGTATGTGCAAAGGCAAGAAAAACATCAAGTACTTACACAGCGGTCATATTTGAATCTGGTGCAACCATTACTTGAACAGCTGGGACTCCCCCAGGTAATGTGGTCTCCTTACAAGGCACCTTAGTGGATCCTGGACCATGAATAGAATGATAATGCGGCACACCACCACTGGTAGTTAGGTGAACTGTAATCCAAACTGAACCAGTATATCCAGTAACCTATGTAGATAAACAGGCAAATTCAACACCATATCACTAGGCTCATAAGCCAACTGTTATCACCCAAAAGAGTGAAATCCTGTTAATGCTTCCAGTGAAGGGTCAAGAAATTCTGATTAAACCGACAACAACACATTTTGGTACAAAAACAACCATGTGTTGGTCTGTTTTTTCAATCTTGGCCCCAGTTATACACAAGGTGGATAACACTTTCCGTACAATAATATTTTAGTAAGGTTGAATTATTGATTTTTCTAATAAGACGAAATCTGCTTGATAGCATCATCTTTCCTTCATGGATGACAGAAAAACTAAACCAAGACAGGGCTTACCTTAACAGCTGGAAAACTGTTTTCTTGAGATCCATGAATTGGACCTCTGCATCCTTCACTTTCATATCTTGCTCTATAGTTCTACAAAAAAAACAGTAAAACTCAGCTGTAAGTACCAAAAGAATATCATGCTTGTTATTACATGGCAAAGTATAACATTAAGCAACATTACAATGGAGAGGACGTAACAGGTCACAAAAGTTATGGTCTTTTTCAGTCTCCTCATTAGACCAACTAAACAGATAATGTGGAACAATGTGAAGGCTAGTCTATGTGTTGTTGCAGTGCAATGTGAACAGGTTTAACCTACCTCTTCAGGCTCTTCAACTATAACAATCTTTGGTTCATCAGACTTTTTGGTATTCCTGGATGGCTTGCTCCTTGTTTTGGACAAAGGAGCAGCTGGTGGAGAGCTGCTGACTTTGGTAACAGAGGCTGAAGACATCATCTGATTGGAGGATGAAGAAATGGACAATGCCTGAGCAAGTGTGGTGGCCTGACCACCCTCAACAGACAGAGGGCAACTGTTGGACACAGAAGTTGGGGATGCTGTGGTCTGAATGCCAACCATAACATCAAGGCCAGTGATGGCCTGAGAGGGCTGGAACCCAGAATGATCCACTGAAGTTGATGTTGCAGCAAGTAACTTGTTCAGTTCCTCCAAAACACTGCTGTCACTGGAGGTTTTCCTTGAGCTTTTGCGTCGCTTTTTACCACCATTGGTAATCACTGACGCTTGGGTTAGAGAATTCAGTGGGGAAGGGGGGTTTCCTTTTTTCAAGACAGCATTTCCCCCAATTATCTGACTGCAAACAAATGGTGTATCTTCCATATCACTGACATCCTCAATACCACTCTCTGAGGATGATGACCGACAATCTTGTGGTGAGGAAAGTGGGGAAGGTGATGCTGGACAACTGTCAGAAACATCTGATTCATAAAGGTCAATCATTCCTGGAAGTGGGGGAATCACTGGTGTCTCCAGAAAATCCATTGGGAAGGGTGGTGCATCCCCTCCTGCAGGAAAATCACCTGTACAGACAAAACATTGAACATTCAGAGCTGCATAAAAATTCCTCTCACCAGTTTAGCTAAATACCTTAACTGTACCACTGTTACTGTTACTTTTTTAACCCTGGAGTTTACTAGAAATACTGTCTTACCTATCTTTATACCAAGGCCAGTCAAATTTATTTATATTTGAACAACAAAATTTAATGTTATTTGAATAGAAGCCAATTAATTTGTAGAAAATGGAAATTTCCATCACCAAACCAATAATACATGATTAACACTTGCCTAACGGGCTTAATCCACACTAGCACTGGGAAAGTGGGCTGGTGCTAATGCGAACCCTGGGCTTAGAAGGAAGAAAATGAACTTATAAGAATCCAATTCACCACACACATAGAGAGTCATAATCTCACAGTAAAACCCCTTTAAAACTGTAAAAAAAAACCATCTTTAGCTACAAGATTAATTGGTGATTTGTTTATTCTAAGAATTCAAAAATTGATACATTGCAAAATATATGCTTTAGTTTCCATTTTCACACTTTGTGATTACCACAAAAAAGAGAGCACAGCAGTGTAACTTGGAGTGACCCCTGCACATTTTCTTACAAAAGTAACTAATTGTGCAGATATGTTTTGAAGAATTTATACCAAGAATGTATTAGTACACCTTACAACTTCCAATGAAATTAAATCATTTTGCAATACAAAACAAACTTCTTGTCTAATTTATTACCTAAATTATCTATGATTAGGAAACCATAAACTCTGTGTGAAATCACAAAAACACAAAATACCCTTTAAAAAATAAATTAATCAGTATTAAATCTTGCTATTGTCAAAAATGCTAAATACAAAAATAGGCAGGTTATTTTTAGTGAAAAACGATACTTAAAAGATTGGGCAATTAAAGGGCAAAGTACAAGCAGAGCAAATACAATAGTTTCCAGAACTGTGCAGAACACCACTCCTTTGAAATCATGCAGACAATACACGCTGTGTAGAAAACAGCTTACAATGCTTTGAATTTTATTTGTTCTAAATTAATGGAATCTGCCTCTCAATAAATAGGCTAAAATATTACTTAAGGACACACAAAAAAACGGTAGGTTAAAGGTTAGAGGGCTAGTTGCTACAAAAAAAAAGAGGGAAAATCGTAAAAAAAAATTCACAGTACACACCACTTGGCTGTGATGAGTTGAAAAGTGCAATATCCTTGTCTTGAGTTTCAGGGGTAAAATGATCTGAGAAAGAAAAACGTGTTAAAATGAGGGAAATGTATCACCAGAATTTAAGTTGTCTTAGCTATTGTACAATTACGTAATGCAAGGTTTGTATGCTACTACCACCGCTAAACCCTATGCCGCTTGCGGTTTATGGGCTAAAATGGAACAAAAACGTGTATAAAACTTTAAATAATCTGGAAGAATCGATAACAAGTTACAGCGGAACAAATAAGTCGTGTTTTTGCACGCTTCGCTTACAAGGTCACGACTTGCATTGAAATCTTTTTGTACGGATTAACATAGGTCATCTTGATATTAGGGTTACAGCTGACGGAAATATCCAAAAGCGAAATTTAAAATGAAATGTTCGCCACCTCCCATTGTTTGTTCGATTTATACTAGCTGTTGGATAAACTTCATCATTCACGGAGGATAACATTATTCTGGCAAGTTGTTTCACAATCGCTTTGATCAAGTCGCACGGGCGAGCTGAGAAAAGCGAAATGAAAGTTTTAAACACTTCACGCAGGAAAAAAAACACGCGAGGAAATTGGAAGATTAAGAGTGCTTACACGACAAACAAATTGACAGCTTCCCCGACAGGAAGAGCTCACAGCAGACGGGTAAAATAAACTAAAAGCAATATTAAAATATGCATGAACATTTCACACAGAACATGTGACCAAAATATCAAATGCATTTGAACGCCAAAACTGGCTGTTTACCGAAGTGGATCAATATTAAATACTATACTACCAAGAAAAACATACAACTACTACGAACACAGCATTGGTTTCAAGTATTCCATTCAAAAAAAATACAAAATTGGCGGAAACTAAAGTCGGATGAGTTGACCGGCAAACAAAATTACCTGTTTCGAAGGGATTTGTCTCAACGAAATCCATCGTTTTGCTGTAGTTTATGAGCTCACTTTCAAGAATTCGACATAAACAAACGCTCTGCGAGAATTTAAACTCTCTGGAAAGAGAATAAACGGTGGAACTGACGCGATAAATGTGATTTTGAGTAGTCAACGACTATGCCAATCCTTCCCACACGCCTTCTTTCTTTGCAAGTAAGGCTCGCTTGGCATCCAGGGAGTTATCAATCAACTGTAGCTCCGCCTATTGGTTATTTTGAAACGATGACATCATTCTTTTTCCAAATATGGAACAAGAGTGTTGACACATGCCACATGGCGCCCAGTCACAAATGTCCACATTAGGGAAGAAAATTTAATCTCATTTTCTTTTCTTTTTTTATCTGCCAATAAAATTTTAGAGTTACTTTAACAAATTTCAATTTTATCTCTTAAGAGGATAGTTTGTGATTTCCTGATTTGGGAGTGCTTCCATACAAAGTCTTTATCATAAAGTCGCGATAAAGATTGTCTAGGATAAATTCAAGCTTTCACAGTTAATTTATAATTTTAATATTTTCAATAATAAGTGTTTTGTCCCGTTTTTCTCGCCAAGCGACAAAACAGTCTTGTCAACTGCTCCCAAAAAATACACACCTTCTTAGGCGCCTTTTTTCTATTCAAACAAGGCAGCTAAAGACATAGCTGTATACGCAGATGCATCTCGCAAAATCCCCCGGTGGCGAGCGTAATACAGTACAGCACAGGAAGTAAATGTTATTTGCGCTTTCTTGTGCGTTTTCTGCCTAATGTGAATACAAAATAATCTTGCACCTTTTTTGGTTCAAAAGCATTTGCTGTTACATTATTTCAAGAGAGAGGTTCTTTCAAATTACAGCATTTAAAAGGGCTTTGTAAAGACGTTTTCATATCGCACCTGTGGTCTAAGAGTCTAGATTTCGTATTTATCAACAGAACCAGTATAAGGTTTTAAAATTCCAAAACGAATATCGTTGGAATATAACGGGATTCCTTACGAGCACAGACTGATAAAGTTTCTAGATACCAGAAAGGAGAAACAAACTTGAGTGATTTTGGACATCTATTCATGCAATTGAACTGGCGGTCTTAAGTAGCTGGAACGCCTGACAGCGAAACAGGATTACGTTTCACTTCAACCTTTGACAAAGGAATCCTGTTTCTTCTCCCCTGATGTACCGCCTGATTCTCCATGTGCCTTTGAGAGGCACCACAATATTTCTTACTTGATATATTTTGCTTTAAGCGACTGAAATATAAATTATTCAAGACACGAGCATTCATTGATGAGTGTCTGACAAGCGTATGCAAATTCACGCTAAACCTCATGGGAGACTACAAAGACGTTTCAAGAAAACAAAAGATAGTGACGGGATTATTGAAGAATTTTCGATTTTCGCTTCACCCGTTTTGCACGAAGTATCTGCAAAATTGTAATGCAGTACTTAAATACTTAAAATGTACACAAAAGACAAGGTAGAAGGCAAATCTCAGTCGAATCAGAGCACCAGTGCGACAAAATTCGTACCTATATCTGTGAACTTCGCGAAAGCGGACGTGTCGTCTGTAGCGGTCGTTGTCTTCATTTGCGTCCAAGATGCCTCGTTAATCATGGTCTGACCAGTCTGATGTCCAAGCAAAAAACTTTTCAACCCGATTTAGACCTTTTTCAAACCGGTTGCAGAGGTCCAACGGGAAAAATTTCCTTCGAGGTAAACTTGTTTGACCGGTTTCGTTTTGTGCCAGTCGAAGACACCCGCGCTCATCTGGTTTGTAATATTCATACAGCTCTGTTGCGACACACCTTTCATTTACCTCCCGCCCCGTGATTGGCTGTTAATGACAGTTACCTTCTAAATAAGGAATTCTTGCGCAGTTCACTTAATTACTATGCGCACCAGACTTGGATTTCGTAATCAATACCGATTTGACAAACAAGTCCACAAACAAATCACAAGAACCGAAAGGTCAGTGAAAGGTTGCTTTGCTTCGTTGCGCGAAAACAAATTGTTTTCTCATTGCCAAAGACACAAGTTTGGTTAAAAAAGAAAGGAATAGTGCATGTGCCTCGTTGCATGTAGCCAGAAAAAGCACCTGATATTTTTTAGACATGCTCTCCTACCGGGTATCAGGCCTTTCATTGCAAGAGGGTTCCGGGAGGAAAGATAATGGAGAGTAGGCTTCACCTTCTTTTCGTTCATTTCCCCCTGAAAAAGCTTGATGCACAGGCTAAACCAGAAACGAAATCAATGCAAGGTTCTCGAAGGCCTTAAACTTAATTAAAACTTATCTTTCTACCAAAGACTCCTCTGCAGGTAAAGCACCCTTCACCCTTGAAGTTAAAAATCTTTCCTCCGAGGCCCCTTTTACGTCCCTGATACCGAATAATGAAGCACATATATAAGCACTTCGCAACGGGAGAATGCCACGATAATTCCTTTTTTTTTTAAGTGTCTTGGATTTTGCCTTTTTTGTGATTCACTCCCTTAATAAGTCCCTATTTTTGCAAACGATCATTGCAGTTCATCTATTTGTTGTTTTTTCCCAATCGCGCTTTCTATAAAAAGCTTCAAAATCGGAGACTAGTCTGAGAAATTTGAGACACCTCACATGTACAATCGCCTTAATTAAAAGCAGCTATGTGAAAGTATTACATGACCTGCACCTTCAAACAAACCTCGAGGAACATTTTCACGCGCGAATACTGAATCCCCTCTCGCGTGAGCGCGAGGAGACGTGCCGTTTCGCGCGAGGGTATTGATGCGGAAAAAAACAAAACATTTAATTTTTTGGAGCGGAAAGAACTGAGTTTCAGGAGTATTAGCTCCTGGTTTTACTTCTAAATTTCCTGTTTTCTGAACTATACTTTGTGTTTAAAAAATTCCCAACGTTCCAGTCTCATTCACTGATACAGCCGATAACAAAATGATAGAAAAATTTTAGAAACTAGTACACAGTGTGAGTCCAGTGTCGCTCGTCACTCTGATCAGATTTACGGCTCGCAGGAACCTATGATTGGCTCCTGTGGCTCGACATCTTCAATTTTTATTCAGATCATGAGTTCTTGGCCTATTATCCGTGCAAAGCAAGAGAGGATTCAGGTCTGTTATCCTCTTTTAGCGCAAACAAAACCTCACAAAACGTATCGAGAGATAAACCCCACGAGGTCATGTGAGGAAAATAAGAAATTTGCGCCATTGGAGCGTAAGGTCACGTGAGGAAAATAAGAAACTGTGCCAACGGAGCGTGAATAACTAACAAAATTACCATATCCAAGATACAGGTTTATTCTCAGTCAATATTTACTTTTTGACGTATTTTGCGGTTTTGAAACTTGTCTCCTGAAGAGTTGGATAATTGCAAATCTGAAACGTTACTTGATCATCCTTCGATTCTCCTCTGTCTCGCGCTCAGACGTCTCTTGTTTATCTATGTATTTATCTATTTTTTTTTAAATAGTGATATTCTTGAAAAGAAAATAATCCTGTTCTGTCATTACCCTAAAACAATGTTCCTTACATTAAAAAGGAAAAAAATTGGTATCTTGATCATACAGATTCACGAAATCTGCTTGTTTATAGTTCAGCTGATACTTGTTTCAGAGTAATCGGTATGTAATATTTCGCAAAAGGTCAAGCCCTAGATCAACTCGGCTTCTATCTTCTGTAATCGCATGGTTGATAAATAACGAAACATTTCATAGAAAAAGAAAATACCCGGCGATTTACGACGAATATTTTTGTTTAGTTTTGTTTTGTTTTTGATTTTGTAGTAGACACTTTAATGGACGAGGCCGAACTCGAAAAGCTGCTGACTAAATTCCAGTCCTCTTGTTTTTTTAAAAACAATCAAATTATAAGGGCCCAAGGGATGACGGGAAGAAGAAGTCTGATAACGTAAGTAATAAAAATAGCTCACCTTCGCCAAGCAAAGTGTAAAGCATTTGTTCCACATTGGCTCCAAATATATGCCAGTTGTTATCAGTTGCGTTACAATTTATAGCTACAAAGTAAAAAAATTAGAGGCAAACGGTTTATCTTTTTTGATAAACGTCAACTCATGACCAAATCGACGAAATTCCTACCTATATCGACAATGTCCATTTGAGTTGTAAATTCTTGAAGTGATTCCACCTTCGGTGGAAAGGGAGACCAAGTTGTTCTGCCGACCATAGCTCCACTAAGTACATTCAACTCTTGTAAACTTGTTTAGTATTTTAGTCAAACCGGTTTGAGTAGTTGAGTAGTCAACGGGTAAGTCTTTCGTCGCAGTAAACACGTTTGACTGGTTTCTTGCTCTGAGCAAACAAGTTTGCATTCGCTTTATATAATCTTCGTTTTTCCTGCTGGCATGTCATTGGTTGACGACTGAAGGAAGGGAATCTCCCTCATACGCAGCAAATTACACAGCAATAAATCCTCTTTAAGTCAACAGAGCATGCGCGATGTTACTATTCTGGTTCTATTAGAAAGTTTTAAATTAAAAACAGGAAGAAAGTTTTACGTCCGTACTTCAAGTCCGTTAGCCAAACAAAGCAAAACAATGAGTTTTCCTGCTCGGGTTGCCACAATTATTCCTCGTTGACATCATACTCATAGTGTTTGAGGTGCATTTGGTATACTAAAGTGCACATGCAAGCATGTGACCATTTTCGAGTTCCGCCCCTCTACCGCCCATTGTCTGACCTACCAGAGACAAGCTATAATGCGTGGGAATCCATAAACCGCCGGAACGATTCATTCGTCGGTCATGTTTTAAAGTTTGAATTTTAATTTCTACCAATCATTTCATTATTTTGAAAAAAAGAGAGGTCCTTACAAAGCGCAACCAGTACAAAATAGCATTCCTGGGAATTAAAATACAGTAAAATTACTTGTTTCCAATGATGTCATCTGTGATGGAGTAAACAAAAAACGTTTTGTATGTTTCCATCCGTGAACGCGAAAATATCATTGTTTCAGTGTTTGTTTTATGACGCGCGCTGTGCGAATTTTCTCAGTCACATGCGACTGTTTACAGTTTCATGAAAGTGTCAAGATAATTTGCCCACAATTATTGCGTAGGAGGCTCCAAGTCACTGGTGGAACTATCGGACGTGCAAACATTCGTCATGTTAAAAATTTTGACTTTTTATTTTACTTCATATTGTAGAGAATGAATGATTTTCAGCTTCTGAATACCTGGGATCGTTGTGAAGTGCAGTTTGCAGAGGATACCATAACTAGTAATGTTAGAATACTGTAGAATTACTCAGAAACATTGATGTCATCTGTGACAAAGTAAAGAACTAGAAAAAACATTAAATGTTTTAAATCCGTGAACGCGCAATATCAGTGTTAAGTTTATGTTATGACGCGCTCGGACGCGCGCGTGGAATCTTTGCGGCGCTCACGCTTGAATAGCCAAAATCTCGTCTTAGGCCTACAAGGAGAGGTTTCTTTGCTGCGTGGCTTTTAGTATGTGCGGAGTCGATCGCCCAGCTGTCATTAGCGTAGTTGGCTTGTTTACTTCCCTCGGGGATGTAAACGAGCTAACTACGCGAATGAAAGCGACGCCACCAACTTCGTAAATGCTAAAAATCATTCCGGAATGGCTGAAACCTCTGCAGCGAGGTAAAGTATACAACGTGACGAAACGAGAATAACAATTTTAAAAACGTTTGAGGTTTGAGGCATGGCCCTTCAAACAAATTGAGAAATAATTCCAACACTTCGAATCTGCCAAGTTTGACTGCCTAAGTGACAGTGGTTTTGAGAGCTGTGTGCAACCACAATTATCATGGTATTTTTTGAGCCATGAAAGTATTAGCATGTTGTATAAGGTCCTGTGCACTCAACAGTAAAAGCCAAATAGAAACCTTAATTGCCTACATGACATCAGCTAAAATTATTTTATTGGGAATAACACTTCAAAGACGACAAAATATACATAATTCGGCTCAATTTGATCTATTTTAGGAAAATGGGCGAGAATATATAAAGAGTATGAAAATAACCTGCTGAGAAATTGCGCACGAAGTGCATATCATGAATTTTGAGAATCAGGAGACCTTGGAAGTTTTTAATATCGTTTCTAAACAAAACTGCTGAAGGAATCGTTTTCCCAGTTTATCTTAATGGAAGTGAAATAATGAGTTTTCAAAAATTTAAACGCATTCTATGTATGTTTTGTGTGACACGTAAGATGTTTTAAACAACGTATAAAAGTGAAACTGGCAGAAGGCAGGAGTTGCGAACAATAACTTTTCAGGATAACGCCTTGCGTCCTCAAAAAACAAACTGACACCACATTTTTTTACGTTTTTAGATATAACAGGAACCTGACAGTATACGGTAATTATAAGTAAGCAAAACGGACAAAACGCGTAACAAAAAGTGACGTTTAAACTTTTTCAATCAAGAAATATAGTAGAACATATGTGTAAAAGCAACGTCACCGCCGACCATTATTCTTCCGCATCAGCGAAAACCAGATCCACAGGCCTCAGAATAGAAAAATTTTGCAGGTGAAAATCGAAAGAGCACGATTGTCTCAGAACTTGAATGTGCTGAATTTGGCTTGATAAGCCTTTACTTCTGTAGAGGTTGAACGTGTCTATCTTTTTTTCACAGTAAGTAAATACTGAACCGATAACACTTTAAATTTTCTGATGAAGATATTGTAGTAAAGGGCTAATTAAATAAAGAAAATCACGTAAAGCTAGCATGTATGTGTATTTTTGTACG